TGGACATCAAACAACAAAGGTCAAGAGAAGCCTGGGCATTCACCTCATGGGATGTCAGCAGCTTTCTCGAACAGTGTTCCGCGTCTCAGCTTGCCGCGGTTCACGGGAGATCCAAGTGAGTGGCCGCGTTGGATCAGCCTCTTCAGAGCACTGGTTCACGATCAGGCGTCTCTCTCTGACACGGAGCGGATGGCGCATCTACAACAAGCAGTAGATGGAGTTGCCCATCAAGCCATCGAGGGATTCTTGTTCGATGGCAAGATGTATCACCAAGCGTTGGCAAGGCTGCACGAGCGTTTCGGTCGAGAAGGCGACATCAGTCAAGCATATCTCAGCTCCATGTTTGCAACTCCAGCTCCTTCAATCAACAACATCGCCTCAGTGGAGAGGTTCAGTTCAGCTGTTAGCAACACTGTGCTGACGCTGCGCGCTCTGAACCACTACAATGATCTGAGAGCCATCGAGAACCTGCGTCGAGTAGTATTGAAGCTTCCTGCGGAGTTGTCCTACCAGTGGGGACGAGAAGTGCATCAGATGCATCCCAAGCAGCCCGATCTGGAGATCTTCAGCAAGTGGCTAGAGACAGAGACTGCCATCTTGAGAAACTCAGCCAACCACAACCGCGATCCAGAAAGGAAAAGGCCATCCGCGAGTGCACGGGAGACCTCGGCGCGACGAACAACTCTGACTACGTCGGCTACGTCTTCCCAGACGGAAAACAACCGACGTCGCTGGTTCTGTGTCCTGTGCAAGGAACAGCACAAGCTTCAGGATTGCACGGAGTTCAAGTCGAAGACGGTGGAGGAGAGGCTGGTCGTAGTGAGCAAGGAACGACTGTGTTGGGGCTGCCTGAACAAGGGTCACTTCATGAGGGATTGCCGCTCTGCAAGACGATGCAACTTGAATGGATGTAATGCATCTCATCACCGACTCATACATGTGGACAGAAGCGCTGCTTGTAATGAAGAAAGCCAAACACAACCAAAAACAGTGGCACGAGAAGGAAGTCGCATCGTCGGCACGGCTCTCACAGAGACGACAGACACACTGCTGCAGTTGGTGCCGGTGCGGATTCACGGCCCAAACGGGGAGAGAGACGTAGTAGCACTGCTGGACCCGGGAGCGCAGACATCGCTCTGCTGTGAAGATGTCTTGGAAGAGGTTGGGGTCCCTGGAGTCCGAGAGAATCTGCAGCTACAGAACATCGAAGGAAGCGGTACCAGACAGTCGTCTCTTCGAGTTCAGCTGACGGTCAGTCCTCTGAGCACAGCGACCAGCAGAAATCGAATCGTCGTGCCCGAGGTGTGGTCTGTGCCAAGGTTGAACGTGGCCCCACCCAGCATGAGTAGCAAGCAGCTTCGCAGCTGGAAGCACTTGCAGGACCTGGACCTACAGCAGTACAACGGCGCACACGTCGAGCTCCTACTTGGTGCCAACATTCTGGAAGCTGTGCTGCAGCGAGAGGTCAGGGTGGGAGGCCCCGGAATGCCCGTCGCTATCCGGACAGACTTTGGCTGGACCCTGACGGGATCGATATCCACCCTGATTCCAAGCACAATGCGGCAAGTCATGTTCGTGCGTCAACGTGCTCCCGAAGACGCTCTGGAGGGTCTGCAAGAGTTGGTCCATGACTGGTGGACGACCGAGGCCTTCGGCACCATGATCAACAGCTCTGATGCACGATCTCAAGAAGATCTCAGAGCTATGCGAATCTTGGATCAGCAGACCAGGAAGGTGGGGGACAGATATGAAGCTGGACTTCTGTGGGGTGAAGACGAACCGATGTTACCGGACAACTGGAACCAAGCGTACCGACGTCTTCAGTCCATCGAGAGGAAACTCGATAAGCAGCCAGAACTGGCTACAAGGTACCAAGCCATCATCGACGGATATGTGAAGGATGGTCACGCAAGGAAGCTCTCAGCAGAAGAAGCGGACGAACCGAAGGAGAAGCGTTGGTATCTGCCACACCACGCAGTAGTGAATCCGAACAAGCCAGGGAAGCTGAGAATCGTTTTTGACGCTGCGGCAACATACCAAGGTGTATCACTGAACTCGAAGCTCATCACAGGTCCAGATCTACTACAAAGCCTTCCTGGGGTGATCATGCGCTTCAGGGAAGGTCTGATCGCTGTGACCGCGGACATCAAGCAGATGTATCATCAGGTGAGGATCCGGACAGAAGACCAGCCTGCATCGAGCTTTCTATGGCGAGATATGGAGCGACACCGCAAGCCTGACGTCTATCAGATGGAGGTGGTCATCTTTGGGGCGAAGTCATCACCGGCAACGGCCAACTACGTGCTGAGAAAAGCACTTCTGGACCATGGAGCGGAGACAGACAAGATTCTCAGCAGAAGTCCCGAGCAACTGGCAAAGTCGTTCTACATGGACGATTGCCTGTTCTCTTGCATGACGGAAGACGCCGCCAAACAGCTGTACGCTGACGTGAAGGAGGCACTGGAGAGAGGAGGTTTTCACCTCACGAAGTGGAGAAGCAGTTCCCCCGCTGTGCTGAAAGGCGTTCCAGAGAGTGAGAAAGCCAGCGCCTCTGCGAGCCTATGTCTCAGGAGCACGCACACCGCTGAAAAGACGCTGGGCATCGCATGGGAGGAAGACGAAGACACATTGGGGTTTCGTCTCCAAGCCAAAGAAGTGAGTGCAACCAAGCGTGGTGTGCTCAGCAAAGTGTCAACAATTTTTGACCCTCTGGGGATTGCTGCTACTGTTACCGTGAGAGCAAAGATGATGATGCAGCGACTCTGGTGGAAACATCTGGAGTGGGACGAGCCACTACCCGAACCTGAGCTGAGCCAATGGTTGGAGTGGCTGAGTGAAGCAGAGAAGCTGAACGAAGTCGTGATGCAACGCTGCGTGAACCCCAGCGGCCTAGAGACACTGCGACGCCAACTTCATGTGTTCTGCGATGCGTCAGAGAGTGCGTTCGGCGCTGTGGCATACTGGAGGACAACTTCGAGCGATGGGTTACACCACTGTCGCTTCCTGATCGGCAAGTGCCGAGTCGCTCCACTGAAGCGACTATCAATTGTCCGTCTGGAGCTGCAAGCAGCCGTTCTTGGAGCGCGTCTCGTGGCTACCGTCCTCGGTGAAATCACTCAGCCACCGGATGACGTCTTCTGCTGGACGGACAGCAAGGTCGTTCAGCAGTACCTTGGTAATGAAACCCGACGGTTCAAGACCTTCGTGGCCAACAGACTGGCAGAGATTTACGAGCTGACTTGCAACGCATGCTGGCATCGGAGTCGAATGACGCCCAGGTCAACTCGCCAACGAGAGGCCGAACCATCGACCCTTCCGTCTGCTCCCAGTGGCCTCGCCATCGAGGGGCTGGGAGAGACAACACATCGGCATCTCCGCAACCGTGAGATAAACCAGCGGGAATTACACGATCCTGACACAACGCTTTCAAGCGCTGGAGGACCAAGGGTCCTCTGAGTCTGGAGGCTCTCCAGCGTCTCTCCATCTCCAGCGCGGGAGGCATTAGCCTCCGCGAGCGCTGCAGCGGCCTCCGCGCAGGCGGCGGTGGCCTACTCAGCCGCCTCAGCACGGGCGGCGGCAACCTCCTCGGCTACACCAGCTCGGGCGGTAGCTTCCTCGGATGTGGCGGTTTCTGCTTGGGCGGCAGCGATTCGTCTAGCAGCGACGACGTCGCCAGTCGCCTTGGTACGTCGGTGGGGATATGCCACTGATCCCCATCATTAATCGTTGCTTAACAAAGTTGAAGTGTTTTTTATTTCTTCTGTTTCATGTTATACTTGCTGGTGTTTCAAAAAATAGCATCGTATTTGTTGGAATGTGAAATGGTTTATATGTGTCAGCGACGCGATGTGTACGGCAGCACGCCGGTTACCTTTCGTGAGTGTTGCCCTGCAGTGCAACACGGTGCGGGGGGATGTTAGCACCGGCGGCTGCAGGCCGGGCCGCCCGGGACCACCGAGCGGGCCATGCGGCGGCCGGCCGACCACGTGGCGCTCGAGGCTATGCCGGCACTGAGCTGGCTCATTGTAAGCGGCCCCGTGATTGGCTGTGTGGGCTCCTGCCCTCGGGGCGCCGGCGAGGTGACCTCGGGTCGGCGCACGGGGCTCGAGGGGAGTTCGTTCTGGATGCTCGGCGGGGAAGTGCTCGCTGTGTGGGCGGAAGTGGTGCTCTGGCTGTGGTGTGGTGGTGGTGCACAATACAGCAAGTGAAATATCTTAACTGGTGTGGAGAGGAGCTGGACCAGTGGAAAAAGGAACGGGACAGTGAACAGCAGCGAGTCTTCTCAGCGTGCGAGTAGCCGATCATTTCCTTCCATCCGGGACTCATAACACGGCCTCTTCCGGGGTGTGTGAGGGAGGCGGCCACAGTGTCTCGCCATCGAGTCACTGAGCTTAAACTCGTTCCCCGGGTCTTGCCATCGAGGCTCGGGTGCGGGGTCTCCGCTCAGACAGGGGTGCGACCAGTCGGCTCCGGCTAACCTTGCCATCGAGGCGCCGGAGTATCGGTTGATCCGTCCGATTACAGTGGTCTCGCCATCGAGAGGCTGGAATCGGGCAGCGGCTGGCGTCTTCCTCACCATCCTTATCTACCCATCGCTCTCCTACAGTCCTTGTCTATCATCCGGCTAAATAAGTGTCGTTGGCGTGTGAAATACCAGAGGACACGTGGCGACACTCCTGTAAGGCGATTCAGTAATTCAGGAAGAAACAGTGGTCTTCAAGGATAACGTTAGGAAATGGCTATGAAAGCGCAGGATAAACTTCCCTGCTATATTTTTAAAGCCTCCTAGCAATTCAAGAAATATATTTTTACGCTATTTTGGGGATTATTAGCAGCGTACGGAAACCGCCCCAGCATTTAGTAGCTGATGCCCATAAAAGTATCCCAGTAAAGAAAAGATATGCACTATTATAGTTATCTCTCTAATAGCTCCCTGTAAACCGAATAGAGTACGCTTCCCAGCGTCCCTGCCTCCCTCTCCCCATCACCGCAAATCTTACCTTCCTGGGCGTGCGTGGCTCCTCAGCACCGATCGCGGCGCCCTCCGACTGCACCTGAATGGTAATGGAGGGCCGCTCTCTACCGCTGCCCATCGACACTTGAGACGCCGAGGCCGACTTGGCCAGTCGCGGCGGTGGCCGCGGCCGTGACACCCCTGCCGGTTCGAATACGTCGTCCCCACCGCCGTCTAGATCCATCTCGAACGCGAACCTCATGCGCGCTTCCTCCGCGTGACGAGCCATGGGAGACCAGCTGGGACATTCGTACTGTGACGTCTTCTTGAGTCGGCGTGGGTCGTCAGGCGGCGAGAGAGGCCGGGTGGGGGCGGAGCCACCCCGCCGGCTGGAGCCTGGTGAAAGGAGGCGCTCGTCCGACTGACCCACACCTGTGTCCACAGTGGTTCCATGGCTGACTGTGACTGTCACAGGACGCGCCACAGGGTGAGCCGGACTGCTGCCTGTGGTAGCCACTGTGACGGGTTCAGACGTGACCCTAGCCACCGTCTCCTCTGGGATGGCGCCTCCCAGAGGTGGCTCGGACGTCCGCTCGAGCCCGGCGCGTGTCGGCGACGTGGCGGTCCTCTCTGGGGGTCCCTCGGATGCCGCTCGGGTCAGGGTATGTCCCCTGGGCCGGGAGGGAGGCGGACGGCGCGGTAGGGACCCACCATTCTCACTCGCCGCCCGTACCGGCTGGTCGGAGGCCACACTGGCGCGGCGTTTGCCGGACGGCAGAGTCGCTGATGATAGTCCTGAGGTGCTCACACTGCGCTGTTTGGAGAGCGGAGGTCGACGCTCTTCTGGTCGTAGCCTTCCGTCGCTGTGTCGACCTGCCCGACTGCTGATTGTCGGCCGCATATACCCGGGCAGATCCTGTCGGTCCGTATCAGCGCTGGCGGCTCGTCGCAGCGCCGCCGCCGGTCTGGGCACTGTATGTGTCCCGCTAACCAGCGATGCAACCAACCTTCCTTCGGCTGTCGGACCACGAGAGCTCTCCACCGACCGCGCCGCCGCCGGGCGTCGCTCGCGCTGCTCGATTCTTTCCGTGCGTCCTCCGGCGCCGATGCGAATCACCGTCTCCGTCTGTCGACTTGACGCACCAGCGGCCGGTGTGGACGTCGACGGTCCGCCAGGCAGCCTCCAGTTGACATAGTCAGGCGTCTGATCCCTAGACCGCGGTCGGCGCGGCGGAGGTACCGGCCGCTGCGCCCTGCCCGCCGCTGGCTGGCTGACCGGTCGACAGGTCCGCCGGGGGTCCTCAGGAGATGCTAACCAGCGGGCTGTCACAGATACTGGTGCAGAGGTATGCCCCGCGTGTCGGTTCGCCGCTGCTGCAGCAGCCACTGAGGCGGGCTTGGCAGGTACTGCGGGAGGGGTGGCGGCGCGGCGGACGGTGGGGGCGGCAGGGGTGGGGGTGGGGGCGCTTGGTGACGGAGGGTTCTCGATGGGAGCAGATGGCGTGGAGTCGGGGGACGCCAGCCGTCGGAGGTCGTTCTCGGACAGCGGGGCGGACTTCTGTGGTGTTATCACCTCCTGCAAAACAAAACAAAAAAACAGCCGGATGAAGAGAAATGCAAGGTTCAGGGCGAATAAAAATCATGTTCGGTTCAACAACAGATAAGCTCGAGAAATATGAATGCCAACGTAGTCAATAACTCATGAAATCAGACACGAAGTTCGAACAAAATTGAAAGGGCTGTCCTTTCGCTGCGAGTGCCCGTACGTGTACGGTCGATCTGTCAATCTGCTCAGAATTACAGAATATCCTAGAATCAAGCCAAATGCCCCGGCCCCTTGCCACTTCCCCGCCTGACTACCATCACGACGTCGTTCCATCCATCCAACATCGTTCTAAACTCCCTCCTTGTCCCCTCACCTTCACCCTATCCCCCGACGTCTCCGGCTGACTGGCCCTCCGCTGGCCCTCTGTAGAGACCACCGAGCTGACAGAAGCCGCCGACTGGCCGCTATCCCTGCGCACACGCGCTAGGAACCGTAGACTGGGCTTCTTCTTTATGGCCGGTCTCTCGGAGCCCAGTGAGCTCAGGGAGCTGAGAGAACCGGCTGAAGGGACGGGCGAGCCGGTGCGCCAATTGCGCAGCTTCTGTCGCGCCCGGTCCAGAGATGAGGTGGGTGAGGGGGTGACACGGCCCCGCTGCATCGGGGGACTGCGAAGAGACGGGGAGGGGTGTCATGGGATCGCCAGTAAAGACAGTGCGTGAGGGAGACTGACAGTCAAAGCTAACCGAGGGAGATAGAGGTGCCGCCGCTATTACATAAAGATGCCGCAAAAGTGCGCCGCTGACAGACGGGAGTGACCAAACAGGAGCAAAACTCCAGTCGGTTAAAGCGACTATCCCACCTTCTAAAATGTTGTTAAAACCAGTTAAATTGTGCCCGACTTTATAGATTGGATGACCAGGAACACGGTTCTGGCATTTATTTTTCATTAAACATCTTAGGCTTCCCATATTCCGAACACAAACTTTCAAATATGTGACGTCACAGCCCAAAATTACCTCCTTCCCCAGGCCACATTACTGTCATAAAGCTGATTCTTTTTACTCTGTAGGCACCACAACAAAGTTCAGACCAAGTTTTAAGCGATTTTTCAACGAACAAACCCATTTAAATCAGAATGACTAAACGAGGTGACGTCACACTAACGGTCGCTCCATGTTGAAGATAGGGCCTTGCACAAGGCCCATTTTCAAATGAAGGGAACGAATTTCTTCCACACCAAGAGGCCGCGGGGGTTGCAACCATGCAACCTAGATAGATAGTGGTTTCTGAACCTCGCCGCAAACTTGGCTATCTCAACTCAAACCCCATGTTAAAGGTGGGATAGTCCCTTTAAAAGAAAGCTAGAATGTGGAGCTCAAGGAAGAATTACTTCGGTGCTTTCTTCTTACAGAAAACATTCAATCCAACGGGAAAGATAACTACGTTTAGGCAACAACCTGACAAAACATCGTTATCGCTACATAGGCCTTAGATCCAAGACAATTGCAGGTATGAGACGATTTTCGGCCTCAATCGCACCTAAGAGTGCTCCGGTCGGCCGGAGGTTCACTCACCGTTTCAGTGGTGTCCTCTTTTTGCTGTCCTCGTCATCAGTGTCGCTGAAGTACATATCTGTCGGCACGGTAATACAGCGCGGTCAGGGTGTCAGAAAGGCTTCAGGTAAATCTCCAGAGGATGCAAACGTCAAGGAAGGGCAACAGGTCAAGAAAAGAGAGTACAAGACGGGTCCATAAAATTGCAACATCCAGAGCAATTTTACATATCTCCCTCCCATCCTCCCGGACCCAGCTCTCCTGCCTCCTCATGTCCCTTTCTCCTTTCCCCTTGCCCATCTCACTTCATCCTATCCTCCTCTATCCCATCCATTCCAATCTCCGTCATCACTTTCCCATCCCACCCCATATTCTCATCCCAAACTATCTAGTCCAATCCTAATCCACCCCTTCCTATCCCATCCCAATCAAATCCCCTCGAATCACTCACCGACATGCGTGCCGTCGCGGTCCGGCCTGCTGAACCCTCCCGTGGTGAACGTCTTGGTGGAGTCGTACGCAATGGCCGACAGACCCATCTTGTTCATCCATTTGGTCATGTCCAGCTGGGAGTCGGATGCGAACACAACCGACCTTTCTATTGGACCATAGAACGAGACAGAAGAGGTGACTAGGCTATCACTTCACGGGGAAATACGGGGAAAGATAGCATTTAATTTAAAGGGTAGGAGACTTTACCTCTGACCTTATAAATACGACAGGGGCTTCAGAGTACTGTATAGTATTACTGCACGTGTATAATCATTGCGTGTGGTTATCATTAGCGTAGTCCTAACCCCTCGTCTGTCCGGCAGTAACTGAAAGCTGCAAATAATCCAACTGTTCGTGGTTTAACGTTAACACCTCGATTGCTGATGGGACCTTTGCGTCGCGTCACTTTCCCAGCTGATGAACTGACCGTTACTGTAGACTCGGAAGGCGTGCCGCTTGGAGCGGATGTCATTGGCCGGCGACACTTGGTAGCCGGGCAGAGAGATGAGCGTCTCCGCCTGCTGGGACTGCGGCGGATGGGAGAAAGAGGGAGGGATGGTCACGTGACGGTCAGAGGCAGACAGAGAACAGACCCATGCTGACACAGGCTGGCAATGTTGACACTAAATATAGGAGGGAATAAAGCTGCATAGTAAAACGATTGGCTAGCACGAACGACTGGATTATCAGAAGTGAACGCAATGAGACGCAGTTGCAAATCATAAGGAACCAATTCATCACCCGGTACTAAAGCAATGTCGCGATATCCCATGATATCACGTCTACCCTTGTGACCCTTGTGACCCACAATACAATGGATGAGCAGTGAGCACATACTTCATGAAATTCGGTGATCTTGAATATGCCTCTTACAACCGAACAGCCCTACTGTCCGACTCCAAGCTGTCCATTCTCGTACCTCCTTATCCTTGTAGCCGTACAGCTTATGGCCATGCAGCACAAGCCAGCGTTTGGCCCATTTGTCGGCGTGAAGGAAGCCGCGTCCCTCTTTCTTCATATGCAGCCAGCCCTGGCAGTCGCCCTGACCCAGGTCCCGGCACGACACTCGCCGGCCCTCTGTGGACGGGAAGGAAGATGTCAGATACGAAAACAACTTATGAAACATCGTGGCCTGTTATACGTGGAGTATTAGGTACCATTTTTGCCAGCGCACGTCTAGTGGATGAGAGATTTGCCACGCCAACGACATCATGTCACTGGTGAAAGTAGTTACGGAAGACGTCACCTGCAAACTTGCAAACACATCTTCATTCTGCGACTTCAGGCCTGTGGTTGTGCCCACTGTAAGTTACTGACTCGAGTATTGTCAGTATCATGATATGCGGCGTCGTAGTCATCTAACACCCATTTGCTCTTGCTTAGCATATGGGAAAAACACTAACTAGAGATAGCAGGTCATGGTAGGACTAACTGAAAATTATCGGAAATATGACATACACTACCAACCTTACAGCTCATACAAACCCACAACCAGCCAACCCTACAATTTAGCACCCCGTTTAGACCGGCGTGCTGCATGACACACTAGACGCGGAGCAGCACACCCATTTTCCTCCCCGCTGAGAGTTCATTATCGACATAAGATCGCGTCTGGCATGCGGGATAAATACTACGCAGATCGTATCCGTGACTCAGCGAACACAAACGGCTACGGCCGCCCGGTACAAGGTAAATGATCAACTCTCTGGAATACTGACATCGGCTTCATCTGATACCAGCTGGAGCCAGGATACGTGAAACATTTGTGGGAGAGACAGATATACACGCCTGTCATTGAAATTTAGCAGAACGCAATGTTTAGCCGTAAGGACATTTCTACCTCTAATAATCTTTAATGCAAACTCAATACCGTCGTGCCAAGTCTTCATCCTAGCAGATGGGTGTACAAACCGTTTTTAACTCCCGCGCACCGCCCACCACTGCCGTTCGACAACTCACTGAAGCTGAGCCTAGAATGCTGCCGTAGCAGCACGGCCGGTCCCCCGCGGGAGCCGGGCTGAGCGGGCGGCGCGCCGTCCGGGGTCAGCGGTGACCCCTCCGGTCGACTCAGGTCACTCAGAGAGGTCTTCAGGCCGCGGAAAGCCACGTCCATTTTCTCGATCATCTCTCGGAGTGGAGAGGCGTCCTTCAGCGCACTGGGCATGTCGGAGCTGGATTCGTCTGAGGAGAGAGGATAGAATTAGATGGCTGAGCAGGAATAATTGAGAAGAGTGCGTTCTTAGTGTGTCTACAAATGCACACGTGAACCCCGTAAAAGTAACCGTCTTTTTCTTCGATCCGAAAACTGTCTCCCTCGGGCTGCTTGGGCGAATATACAGCAAATTACTGATGAAGCGATGAAGCAAATGAAACAATTTAACGCCCTTAGGCAGACAAACACATGCTTATGGCTGTACCAACATCAAATCAAATCAGGTGTCGGTGGGAGCCTGGAGCAGCACGCGTGAATATCACGCATTTGGCGCAGTGTTAAAAATACTTACCTTCCGTCGCCCCGGAGAGGAGCAGCACCGTCGGGTGGACGGCGGCTGAGCCGTCCGCCGGCCCGTCCGACGGAGCCGACCGACCGGACGGCCACTCTGCCCTCGGAGCCTCCGACGACTCTGTATTTGGAGTCCCCTCTGCTACCTCCTCTGGAGTCTCCTGTGGAGTCTTTGTGGCCTCCTCCTCCCCCACGTCCGGCGGAGTGTTAGAGCCCGGCTCGGGCAGGGAGTTCGGCTCGGCGGCTTCAGACTCAGTGGGGACCTCAAGTTCGATGGGAGATCCAGACTCGTAGGTAGCCTCGGAGACGGTCGAAAGTGGCGCGGGCGAGTCAGAGTGTTCTGTGGAGGAAAAGAGTGAGTGTCAGACGAACCAGACAAGAACAGTATTGAAAGGCATCCCTGGCCGACCATAACCGCAGAAACCAAGCCAATGTGTACAAAATGGCACAGTGAAATGGTCTTATAGCAAACACAATTGACCTCAAGCAAATTGACAAACGCCTTGCAAGATATAGAAAGCTCCTATAACGTTGAGAGTTGAACGACAAGCTAGTGTAACCAATGATTATACTTTACCAGTAAAACGCCTTTTGGGCGAAGAACGAGCGAGCGAGATAGTGAGCCCTGCACGTGCGGAAGGGCGAGAGGGTACTTCCAACGGGCTTGCGCAAAGCACCCTTCTAACCGGTCGCTAGCAGTGTACCAAATTTGAACGCAATCGGCCCAGCCGTTCCTGAGATCTGGAAGCGGCATTCTGCACGTGCGCACGTGCAAACGGGGTCCAAACTGACTTTTGCACGGCACCCTACTAACTGGTCCCCAACCGTGTACCAAATTTGAGCGCAATCGGCCCAGCCGTTCTCGAGATCTGGAAGCGCCCCCTGCACGTGCGCACGTGCAGTAGCACCTTAACCACAACACATGGGAATGCATTGTCTGGTGGGTGCCTACTTGTATGCCAAGTTTCAGCGAAATCGCCCCAGTAATTACCGAGTTATTAAAATGGGAACAAATTTGACACCTCTTATTGTTGTTTTTTGCACGTGCACTGGGGGTGACCCACATGCATCGAGAGTATCCTATTTTTGGTAGAAGGGATGCTGCTACCCTACAAAAATCACCGCAAGCCAATCGCCCAAGCGGCTGCTGAGATATGAGCCTCTCAAAATCACTACTTTTGCAAAACAGCTTGAACACCCTTGACTTTTCACGTGGCACGTGCCACGACGGTCCCTGAGATGTATCAAAAGTAGTCAATTACGAGGTAGAAGGGATGGGGCTACCCAACAAAAAAGACCGCAGGCCAATCGGTCCAGCGGTTGCTGAGATATAAGCCTCTCAAAAGCGTTACAGGCCGGGCCGGGCCGGGCCGGGCCGGGCCGCTCATACTGAGATTTTTCCGTTATATTGAAAAGACTCACTTCGCTCGCTGCGCTCGCTCGCTCGTAACCATACCCAAAGTAACGTCGCTCTCACCTGAGTTTTGCAGATCCTTCTCGGCCGAGACGGGACCGGCGCCGGCGCCGGCGGCCGGTCCAAAGGGCTGGGTGCCGGGTGTGGGGCAGACAGAGGGGGCGGGGACGGGGGCGGAGGGGGTCGGCTCAGCTGGGGCCGCCCGTGTCAGCGGCAGCTCCGCACGCACGGAGGCGGGGGCGGCGGCGGCGGGGGCGGGGGCGGCGAGTGGTCCAGAGTCGCCGCCGTCGTCGCAACCATTCGTTGTCGTCGAGCCTGCGTCGCCGTCGGCGTTGGTATCTGTGGAAACGGAGAGAACGGAGTCTGAGAAACCACTCATGTGAAGCAGGCAGCCGAGAAACAAACAATCACACGGAACAAACAACGCACACAGCTCTATGAGGCAGACAAACCAAGGCGTGTAGCTATTAGCTAAATTACCGCAAGCTAGCACCGTAGCTACCGTAGGCTTAGTTCAGGTCACCGTAGCTACAGCACAGCTACCGTAACCTGACTCCTGACAGACCATGTCGATATCATACCACACCCCAACAAAGCTCCTGCCATGACGGTCCCGCGACGTGACGCCATCGACGGACCCTCCTCCCGGCTAATCATACTGACGACATGGGGAGGGGAGAGACGCCGACCGGGCAGCGTGGTGGGCGCGGCCGGCGGTGGTCCCCCCCCCCCCCCCCCCCACGGACGGATGCCGTCTACGGTTGCGCAGCACATGTGCTTCAAAGAGTTGGTCTGCTAGGAGCGGTCTGCAGATCCGAGTCGAGAATGTGCAGGATCGCACTGACACCAGAGTGTAGCCTTGCCAATTGGCGCTAATAGGATTTGATTGCACCGGAAGCGGCTTAGCTTTCACAAAGTGTCAGTACATAAACACGTTCTGTTTCCCATGCTTTCATGTTCAGCTTAAGCTTGCCACAAACTGCAAGCTTTTAAGATGAAACCACTACACAGGCATGCTCGTTAAAAACTAATTCTTGTTTTATACCACCAGTATTATCATTTCTAGGATGGGGTGGAAATCCGTGGAAACCAGGATAGTGCAAAACATTGCTTGGCTCTGGCAAAATACTGTCAAGTGAGTCACAGAGCTGTGATAATAATGTACCAGTCAGTCCGTCGCGCGGGGAAGCCGGAACTTTAACCCGAGCGTATATTAAAACTACTCGTACAGGTGTTCACTGAACCCAATCAGACATCGGCTGACTGCCAAACGCAAAAGATAACGATAAGAGATGTTGATATCGCTACGAGATGCTGAGTAGGAGATAACTACTGATAACGGAAGCATTATGAGTTTGTAGGAGACCGTACTTCTCCGATCACCTATATCAAAGCTTACGGCGGACCTAGTGGCAGACATGGATCACAGCTATAACACAGATTGTCCGGTGTTCTTTATGTGCCCTGTTGAACAGTGAACTATTGACATATGACGTGTGTCATGACACACGAGACATGTGCTTTAAGTCGTTGAGCCTTATTACGTCCGGTTATGCGTCGTTGAGACGCGTGCTGTCGAGACGGGTATCGTTAGGCCATGTGTTGTTCAGCCGTGCGTCGCTGAGAAAGGTGACGTTTTCAATTCAGTAGCCTGAACTCTCCCAGATCACAAAACATGCGGGAGAGTTAGTTGAAATATCGCTCGACCAGGACACGTCAGAGCGGATGCATACCAGACCAGACTGCCAGACTACTAGACCATCAGACCGCCAGATTGCCAGACCGCCTATCCGGCCCTTTCGGCGCAGGCCTGTGTCTGTAGGCGCGCCGGAAGGCACGTGTTCGTCATTATCGTGCCAGGGGGACAAAGCTGGCGAGATTTGACGTCATTGTTCCCAGCGGGGGACGAAAGGGGAGCTATCGGATAGTTGGTGGCAGCTGGCACCCCGGGCAGTTCGGGGGCAGGAGGGGTCTGGCGCCAGTGGCTATACAGGCAGACTTTGATTTGATGGCGTTCAGCTCAGGGATAGTAAAGAAACCAAAACCAAAGTGGAACAGGGGACAGTGGCTGCCGACACCGGCATTCGGGTCTGAACATGGAGCCAATCATGTGGCGCTGACGGCCAAAAGTCGCAGCAACAGATATATCAGAACTGAAGGAAAACCACCACAGTTCAAAAGACAAAAGGACAAAAGACAGCAGCCGACGCAGTGCTAATGTCTAGCTCAGGTCCGCATGCTAGAAAACAGCTAGCTAGCACCATCCATGTCTTGTTCTGCGCTGACCCACGTAAAAACGCGAATCCACGCCCGCCTCTGTATCACTTCATCTGGGAGCGGCTGAGTCGATAACAAGCGACTGCAGTCAGTTGCAGCGGTTACGGTCTGAATTTCATCCTCCCCTCTCAAACACCGCACCCAGAATCTGTCGGTGTCAATCAGTCCACACCGAAGCGGCAGCAGGAAGGACGCCGTACAACCAAATAAACACGACTCCTGACCGGCACACAGCGCCGAGGTCAAACAAACAGGGAATTTTACAGAAACGGACCCAGAAACAGACCGGGCGAGAAACGCCGGGACAGACACGTCCAAACAGGCTGTATGGTATAACGAAACAAGGGAGGTTTCTGACTTTACTGAAAAGGATGACACCGAATAACTGTGCACATGCAAAGTTCAATGGCCAATTTTGAATTGAACATTGAAAACTGGCGTTTTCTCACACTAAATCGATTAAATATGCAGTTGGAATTAAGTACTGCAGTCTGCACAGACACGTAGAAGTTGAAAAATAGCAACGCTACCACTTACTGAAGTGAGATAATATATCGCAAGAACTTCCCCAGTTTCTGTATTTATAGAACCTTGAGCACAAAAACACACCAGCAGCTGGGAACTGCCTCACACACTCAGCAGTCGGCAGCATGGATCCTGATTAACTGAGACACGTCATTAGCTCCCAAGCCGTGAATTAGGCGTGAAATAAGCGGGACGACTCAGGGGCACTCGACACCTGAAAGACCACAGGCAGTTCCTTCGATTAACAAGTCTCATTTCAAACATTTAGTATAAAAATATCGGCCAGGCACTATAATCAGGATCATCAGCGTGAGCGTCAGTGATTTATACTACCGTTATGATGCCACAAAGCGCTAACAGCAGCCATCTTTCCACATATATCCGAGTGCCTGAGCTTCAAACAAAGCTCAGATTGATTATCGAGAGAGATACAGACTGCAGCCAGTGCAGAGATGGGAAAGATAAACCCATGTGGATTATTTCGGTAATCGCAAGTTCCACCGAGGCAAAAGCGGCAGACGCTGTAGGAAGTTGTAGTCCCGAGCTAAAAGCGTCCGTAAAAGCGTCCGTTAAACCGTCCGTAGAAGTGCCCAATGCAAACAAGTTCAACCACTCAGCAAGGTCCATTTTCATGCACAATTGTTTCACACTACGCAATAAATATCAAAGCAGCTCCAGCTTAGAATATCCACTCTTCTCTTCCAGCTGGCGCCTCCTCACGTCCATCCCCTGCTATTTTCACCTCCCATGCAACCCTCCCCCCTCCCAATCACCCCCCTCTCTCACAGCTGCGGACGCGCCGAGGACAACTCAATGATTGGATAATGTGCCTGCCGGCCGGGACGAGTGTCCGAGCCACAGAGCGGCGTCTGCTAGGGGAGACGACGGCGGGCCCCGAGGGAAGTTAGAGCTCTGCTGAAGTGCAGGGGAGAATAGAACAGCAGGGGAGGACAGGGGAGACTAGGGGAGAACAGCAGACCTTAGGAGGTACTGCAAACGTCGTTATCTATACGGTCGGGAGAACGACGAAATAGCGGGGAGTGGGAAAGTACTGACAGAGTCGGTCACTTCAGACACTAAACACACAAGCAGCTACTTGCTCCTAGCTTTTCACCGGGAACTACCAATGAACGACTGATAATACCGCGTAGTGAAATGAGATTGCCACTTTTCTAGAGCTACGGAGGGCTCCGAGTGTATCCGATGCAGTGGTCAGAGATAAACGGCTAGACACTAGACAGGCAGTCGAAATCCCAGGACCATACGCGTGCCATTTGACAGAGCCCAGAACTCTTCCAGTGTGGCAGAAACGTCATCACAAAGGGGATCATCCGAGTCTCCAGCCCGGTCGGTGCCCCTAGCAGGCCGCCTCAAATACCACAGCCATGTTCCCATGTGGGACACTGGTATGAGTCACAGGGCCTCGGGGACCTCAGCGTCAGACCAGGGTACAGGCAGCCGTCGACCCAGAGCCGCGGCTCCCCGTTCAAACAAACAGAGCACGGCACAGGCCACAGAACAGCCCGGTCGACAATGGACGGCGGGTGTGCACTGGAAGTCTGGCGGTCTGGCGCAGGATCAGATCATCAGGCCCAGACCCCGCACCAGACCAGAAGACCGCGGAATAACCATGAACCGACCGACGGACTACGTCCTTCCGAACTCTAGGAGGAGACCACATAGTTTGGTCGGAATGCGATATTCCCAAACGTTTTATTCACCGAGGTAATAGCCACCCTGCTGTGGAGTGTCAGCTGACATCAATACCAAGAGATCCCAGTTACGACAATGGCGTACGGTGGGTCCGCGGACCAAGATTCGGACCACGCGCCAGACCACTAGACCATCGGAGACCGGTCCTCGAGAGGGCTCAACACTCAACAGTCAACACGCCTCCTTCCCTGGGTTCAGAAAGCACAATCGGTTCCGAACGACAGCTAAGCGGACCGACCAACAACAATGGCATGATTTTGTACGGAAAGGTCATGGTACGAGAGTGGAAGAGGGAATGGGTTGCTCTTGCAGCAATAGCTCAGTCCACAAACAAATACTACCGTGCACCAGCCGTACCTAGATCTAGATGAATTCGCCATCCTACGTTCTAGCCGTAGTTGAAATCAACCCAACCGACCGCGATCCGCTGTGGCACGCAGATGATCACAGGAGCGATCATTGATTTGGAACTGACTCATACCAACGTTATCTGACGAGCAGATAGGTGCTGGGAGGACAAGGCATGAAATGTCACGACACGACACGACAGGACACGGAACGACACGGCACGGCACGGCTCGCACCGCCCGGGGGGATGTTTGCACGGCGGCGGATCAGACACGTCACACCGGAAGCGCCACACTTCCGGTGGGTGACGGGATTAGCTCTGTTCCGCCGACGGACGCTGGTGGTGCGCGCTCCGGCACAAAGTGATGAATGGAGGGGGATTTGGCACCGCGGGGATCATATTGTAGTGCCTACGGGTGCTGCATTACATAAGAGCTTATAACTTTTTGTAATAAGATTGGATGACCAAGTAATTC